GAAGAGGAGTGCCAACTCATTTGCGGATGGGTTGCCCAAGCAAGGAGTGAATAGGGAGGCTGTTTTTTGGGCTAGTTTTTAATTTTCTTTGCATTCCCCATGTTTTCTGTTTTTGAGGAGCTAAGTTATTTTATCTCCCTTTGTATTCTTTTCCCTCTCTTCTCTTAATTTAATGAAGTTGATGTTATTGATAAAAAAAAACATTAATCAAAATTCATGTTAGCCACCAAGGTCAAATAATAAAATTGGACAACTAAGGATAACATAGTATAGCATTTAAAAGGTCCTGGGTAATAAAAAAGAACCAAAGGAAACCTCAGCCTAAAAGTGGATCCACTGGGCTGCACATATAAATGAAACATCTAAATTGGTCAATGAGGGTCAACATACAACTCATTTCTTCTCTCTCTCACTCTTGCCATTCTATTATCACTCAAGTTAGTGGAACTTAGAGCCAAGGTTCAAAATATCAATATTGGGTGTATTGTATCAATATCCATAATGATGGGTACATGGCACACTACAATTGGGTATATTCCTAACTTTTCATAGTGTGCCGATATAGCACCCTAAGTATTGTATTGCATTGCATTGTATCAGACTGATATGCATCAATATAATTGATACAATGGCACAATTTGAATTTAAATCTTCCTGTCCATTAATTAGCACCATAATTAATATTGTTCACTCTGATATGTGGGGGCCTTGCCACTTACCTTGTATGGGTGGCTATAAATATTTCATCCCTTCTCTTCTTCTCTTATCTTCTTCCACAAACTTTAGCAGAACTCTCTTCTTTTATTCCCTCTTTTGTTTTCTTTTGAATTATTGCAGCAGGTGTGTTTTACAACTCAAGACAAGCAGAAAAAAGTTTTGGGAAACATAGAAGTGGAGAAAGTACATATGAAGAGGAGGGTAGATTAGGACTTACAAGATTTCCTTAAAGTGGCAAAAAAGAACAGCAAAGAGTAGAATCACTACCACTACAAGGAAAGAAGAATGGGAATAGAGCCAGGTGATTGAGATAAAAGAACAAGTTCAAGATTGGAAGATCATTGATCTGGTGGAGGACAAGTTACGTTTAACAATGGTGACTATTCCGACAAAGGAAGCTCATTTGATGATATCGAATGGTGCTCTTTTTCCAACTTGAAGAATTTTCCAGTGGAGGAGACAGAGATAGTTCACATCCTGGGCTTGTCATTCCATTTGTGGACACAAGTTTTCAGGTCTATTGTTGCCACTGTGGAGGACATCTTGACAGTGTCTTTGTGGTTGATCTCCATTCTGCTGCTATCTTGTCGAATGGGATGAGACCTTAAGACATCCCACATCCCAAGGAAGAAAGAGGTTTTTGAAGATAATATGTTCTTTTCGGCATGACTGACGACCTCCACTAAAGCCTGCTTTTGGAAGGAGGGCCAAAGAGAGGAAGACAAAAGGATAGAGGAGATTGTCTTACATGGCAAACAGGGGTTGGCTACTGCTTTAGAGTATAGAAGATATACAAAATGGAAGGGCCACCTCTGGGAGCAACAAAAGTTTTGGGGCAAATGGAAGGTAGGGTTGGTTTGGAAAAGGGTGATAGGAAGACAATAGGTCCTATGTTCAGGTGGTGACAAGGGTGAACAGAGCAGTTTGAAAAGTGGTAAAGAGGGAGGGAAGTCGATTCAACTAGGGGGTGGAGGAAGCAAGGCAAGTAAGGCCCCTTACTTGAACCAGTGGGCTGAGTGATCCAATATAAGGCATGTGATACCTTAAAAACTCACGTAGGGAGCTTTCAGTGTGGACCTAAGAACGTAAACTTTAGTTCAATTAGTAAGCCCATTGAAAAGACTGTGGGCTCAAATGGGGGTTTTCACTCAATTGAAATTGGGGCATATGAGCAATTAAAGAGTCATGTGATTCATAAGTGGGTGGATGGTGGATGGTAATTTCCGTCCATCATCATCTTCCTTATGCCTTCCTAAGAAACCAGACAATACCACTGGCTCGCAGAAGACCAAGTGTTCACTCCAATTGTTTCCTTGTAAGAGAATTGAGTTCACGTCCCGTGAAAGATGCAACTCTAAGTACAATAGGCAGCAAAGCAAAGACTTTGAGTTGGATCAAGGAGTTAAATGAAGTAATAGCAATGATGACAGTGACTCTGACTCGACCAAGATGTCTAGTATAGAAGTGTTCATGTTAAGGGTAAAGAGGATATACAACAGGCTGATAGCTTCAATACTCAGTTGCTCTTTCTGGAGTAACAAGACGCTAGATGCTACCAAGTAATTGGGAGAGCAGAAGGTGGGGAAAATACAAGAAATGGTGATAACTAAAGGAAGCTTACAACAATGAAGAGCAGCAGGCTGCACCCCCCATTGAGTTGGAACCTTTTTTTCTTTTTTAGAGAAAGGTTAACAGAGTACAAGGCCTTGGAAGGCAGGAACAAAATTTCACAGGCAGAGAAACATCAGAAAACATATTGGTTCTATGGGCTCTAGATTTGGCTAAGCTGTCAGCTACAGTGTTTAATCCCCTAGGAATCCAAACCAACTTCGCATTCAGGGTATTTAGAATATCTCTGGCTTCAGTCAACAAATGAGCAAGCCTCCAAGGACCTCCAGTCATCTGCCTTAACCAGTTTATTGTATTAGCTGAATCACCCTCAATTGATAAAGAGGAAAGGCCTAACATTTTGACGTAACGGAGACCTGTGAGGGAAGCTAAGATCTCTGCCTTGGTAGCATCAGCTCTCCCAATCGGACCACTGAAAGCCCAAAAGATGCTTCCCCCACTCCCACGGATTACTCCTACTCCTGCTTGACCTGTGGATCCTTGAGCACTACCGTCAAAGCTTAGAGTTAACTGGTTCTCCTCCCTAGGACAAAATGTTTGAGTGAAGCCAATTTCAGGGAAGTGTAGAGGACTTCTTCTAGGTTTCTCTGAAGGTCATTTAATGAGACGCCTTTAAAGACCCCATTGAGTTGGAACCTGACCCAAATTCTCTACAAACACGGGGTATGGAACGTTGAACATAGCTCTTTGTGCAAGATTGCTTTGTGGAACCAGAAAAGGGTATACAGGACTATAGGGACTCAGAAGGCAAGGCTGGTTGCCATGGTACTTCCCAACAAAACCTATTAGGGAAGAGGATTAATACTTTGGGGTCTGATCAGGAACCAAATCAGTCCCCATTTCCCTCTTCAATATGCCCTCACTCAGAACTTCTTGTTTCAGGTATGACTGTCTCAAACCATTAAAAGAAAGGGATAATGAAGGAGGGACCGAAAGGGGAGTTAGGAGAAATGAGGGGGAGGGTAGCTGGTAGGTTTGGATAAGGAGTAGGGTGGGAGAATTTGGCAGCTGATCTGTGAAATGTTGGAAGAGTTAAAACAAAGGGAATGATTAGAAAAGGAAGATTTATGTCATGGTGAAGGGCAAGCTAAAGGAGAGAAGAAGGGTTTGGGGGAGGTAAGGGTTTCAAATGATGAGACAACTCAAGTAACCAAGGTGACAGAGTAGATGGGGTTAAAAGTGAAGGGTAAGGAAAAGATGGTAGTGTATTCCAGAAAGAGTGATGAAAAAAAAAAGAGTAACAAGATGACTGAGGTGGAAAGGCTGAAACTTGACATTGAGGGAGATAAAGAGTTCAGTTGAGGAAGGGAACGGAGAAAAGGACCAGAATAGCATGGGTTGATTAGAGGAAGGTCTCCTATAGTTGAACTAATGAAGATCATAACTTGAAATGTAAGAGGGCTTGGTCATGCCAGAAAAAGAAGGGTAACCAAGGATTTTTTGGAGAGAGAAGCCCGACATTGTTCTGCTACAAGAAACAGAAGAAACAAAGTTAGCAGAAGTGGATAAGAAATGGGTAAGAAGTTAGCTGGACTGGTGCCCCAACATGGGGGCATCAAGTGAATTGTTACTCTTTGGAGGACCGATGTAGTGGAGACAGTGGAATAGTTGATTGGTGTGTTCTTGTCTCTATAAATTCAAAAACCTGGAGGACAGATTTCCCTAGGTACTGCCTAATGTTTATGGGCCTAAAAATTATAGATTGAGGAATAAAATTCTCTAATGAAACATGGGGAAGGTCAATGAGTTTATAGATTCCTGTGAGCTGAAGGAGATTCCGTTGTTGCAAACCCATTTCACTTGGTCAAATTTTCAAGAGCCCCCTATTTGCAAATCTATTTCACCTGTTCAATGAGTTTATAGATTCCCATGAGCTACTTGGATAGATTTTTATTTAATTTGGGTTTGAGAACATGTGGTTAACTCATCCAAAGGAAGGGAGTGAGATTCACAAAAAAAAAAATCCAAGGCTAAAAGGAAATATCAAAGAGTGGAATAGTATTTTAGAAGAAAAAAGTTAGAAATTGTTGTCCCAAATAGTGTTTAGATGAGAAGGGCAAGGGAGTCCTAGAAATGAGGAGAGAAAGCTAAGGTGGAGGTCAAAGGAGTTGTGTGCAGTTGGACCTTGCCAATGGAGATCAGCAGCTAGTTTGACCTGGATACTTTTGTCTGGCCTAGAAAGAGGGGCAGGATCTTGTGAAGATGCACTACGGCAGCATTAGTGTGGTCGATTTGGGAGGAAAGGAATGCAAGAATTTTTCTAGAAATAGAAAAAAATGTGGAAGCAGTGAAGAATGTGTGATAGAGTAATACATTGGGTTAAGACTATGGGCATCTTTGCACTTTGTTCCTTTGGTGATATTTGGAGAAACCGTGCAACAGTAGCTAATAGCTCCTCAAGAAATAGACCGGATACCTCTATTTGGGTGCCTCCTATTGAAGATTTTACCAAACTGAACTTTGATGGTAGCAGTCATGGTAATCCAGGTCCCTCAACCTTAAGTATTGGGGTTTTTTAGAGATCAAGATGGCCATATCGTGGTTTTGTTTTCAGGTCCAATGGAAGAGGGAGTTCAATTAGAGCTGAATTTCTTGCCGCAATTCAAGGATTGATATTAACAAGAGGGTGGGATATGAACAAGTTGATTGTGGAAGGGGGCTCCAAGTTGGAGATGAGATGGTTGTCGAAGCCAGAGACTACCACTTGGGCCTATAGAGAGGAAATACAGAAGTTTAAATGGTTAACCAGCAACATGATTTTGAGAATACAATGGGCTAGAAGATCACCCAATGGATTGGCAGACACTCTAGTCAAGCAAGGGGTCAACAGGGACCATTTGTATTGGGTCAGTTGTAATTTGTTTTTCTTCTTTGTTTTTAACTTTTTATGTGAGAGGTTGCATCTTGCATCTCTCTAAAGGAGGCTTGTAATGATTGTATATATTGCTGAACATTAATAAAACTCCCAATTGTTACCTCAAAAAAAAAAAAAACCAAAAAATGGAATTGCTCAATCCCACTATCCTTGAGTAGTTAAGGATGATAAAACCATCACCAACCCTAAATAAATTGCCAATGCCTAAAAGGACCAAGTTGCCCAATGACCACCAATCAAAATTACGTATGCGGGTATTCACATACTTTACTTGGAGTAGTAAAACTCCTCAATCTCAAGTAATTAGGCAGTGGATCTCACTATAGGGACCAGCTTCCTTATTATCATTTCCACTAAGATGCCCATGAAGATCTCCAATGTCTGGACCCCATAAACAACCATATAGTATTACTCAACTCTTCAACTGACTGAATGGTCCCCTCTTTGTTTAAATATTTCTGTTGTCTAGTGTTTTAATGATATAGGCCTTTAACCAGTTATCAAAAAATGTTACAAGCCTTTAACTAACTATTTAAATAAATACCTGGTAATATTTTTAAGAAAAAGTAAAACACCTGGTAGTATCATAAAACAAAAATCTTGACATGCTAAAGCTACCAGGCTTTGCAAGGAATGATTTAGCTAACAACATGCATCTTAACAAACAATAATATTTGATGCTTACATTAAATTTCTCAAAACCTATCTTGGTAGTGTTAGGCTGTCAGCAGAAGAGTTTCACATATTAGTGATAGTAAGATTAGATGTTTACCAGCTTTAAAAAACAAGAAAAAGAAAAAGAAACCTTAGATCTTGCATTCAACATGCTAAGAATGAAACAGAAACCTCATACCTTTGAAGAAGGAAATAGTTGCAGGAGTGACTGTACTGACTCTTGGATCTGGGAGATCAGTTTTCTCAATGCAATCTCTCCTTCCCAAGGCAGGATTGCTATCAATTATTGCAACTTTCAACTGTTTTGTCAGTGGCATGCTTGCTGTAAACATGCAATATTAACATTAATAATGGGAAAATGTTAAAAATATGTATCATTACAAGAAAAAAAAAACAGAGTTTTATATGTTTTTATTTAGGTTTTGTTTCTTTCTCCGCTTTTATTTCTTAAGATGGGCCAGGGAATGTTAAAATGAACTCGAAACAATCAATCATAAAAAAAAAGAAACAAATTTAGATCCACTGGTCCCAAGCCACAAAGATAAGACAAAAGTCAGCCAAGATTGAATGGTTTTTTTTTTTTGATGATTGAAATAAGTTTATTAATGAGCAATAGACAATAGTAAAAAGTCCCCAAGTAGAGGCACGAGTTGCAACCTCTCCGGGCTAGTTAAGTACAAATTCCAGATTACTAATAGTTTACAAAGTAGCACAAAAAAGGTCTTCCCTGGAAACCCCCTGTTTGGCTAAAGAATCAGCCATAGAATTAGCAGACCTGCTAACCCATTTACTCTCATATTGCTGGTTAACCACTTTACTTTTTTCATGAGATCTTTGTAGCCCCAAGTGGTAGTATCCGGGTTTAGAAGCCATCCCGTCACCACCTAAGAGTCCCCTTCAACTAGGAGATGCTCCACCCCAAGCTGGTTAGCAACCTGAGTTCCTTGTACTGCAGCAAGGATTTCTGCCTTGTGGAGTCCCCTACTCCCACCGGTCCTGAGAATAAGGAGCTTATGTTGCTGTCCTTATTTCTCAAGACACCCCCTATACCTGAAGGCCCTGGGTTACCTTGGCTGCTTCCATCAAAATCCAACTTGATGGCACCTTCCAAAGGCGGAGCCCATTCTAACAAGATTCTATTCTTCTTTGCTGAAGTGTTAGCTATTATTAACCAATTCCTCCACAAGTCATCAAAGGAGAAATCATCAAACATATCTAATGTTTTCAGCCAATGGATTGTTCTTGTAAGGATGCAATCCTTCACTTCATCTAACCCTCTTTCCTTCTCTAAAAAAATTCTTCCATTCCCTTCCTCCCAAAGAGTCCACAAAGTGGCTGCCCTGACACATTTCCACATGACTTTGCCCCTTCTGGTGTGCCAAACAAAAAAAGATGGGTTAAATAATGACCTTAAATCAGAAGGCAAAGACCACCTACCTCCAAATAAACAAAGGCTCCAATTCCATAAAGCTGTAGCAAATGAACAGGAGATCAGCAAATGGAAATAGTCCTCATTCTTGGCCTTACACAAGGAACACCAATTTGGGGAAAGACAAAGAGAGGGCCTCTTTTCTGTAAGTTTTCCAAAGTATTGATTTTCCCATAGTAGACTTCCTAGCAGAATACAGCAATTTTGGGGGAACAGGTCGCGCCCAGACTTCTTTGAAAGGGAAACCTTGGGAAATGGGGTTAGAACTGAGGGATTTTAGAAAGGAAGCACAAGTAAATGTACCTTTTGGAAGAGGAGTCCAAACTCTTTGATCAGAAGTAGGGTCCAAGCAAACAGATTCTAGTAAATGAATTAGCTCAACAACATAACTCGACTCACCATCCCTTAACCCTCTACGAAAACCAAAGTCCCAGTTTAAAGACAAGAAAGTTTGCAATTGGCTCGTTTTTGTGACAGGAGAGGGAATAGAGCGAGGGGAAACGATCTTTGAGGGGTTGAGTACCCACCCAATATCCTCCCAGAATAGAATGGCATTACCAGAACCAACATCATACCTGATCAAACTGAGGAAGCGGGGGAGAATACCATGTATAGCCTTCCAAGGTGTCGTGAGGGTAGCCCGACGAGATATCCCGGAATCCCAACCATTTCCAGAGCAGTCATGTATGCTTTCCACCACTTCATGCCATAGTCTCTCTCTCTCTTGGGGCCATCTCCATAACCACTTCCTAAAAGGGCTACATTCTTCAGCACTATGTTCCCTATCCCTAGACCCCCTTCTTCCTTTGGTTTGTTAACTATCTCCCATCTAACCAAATGATCCTTTTTCACCTCTCCTAGTTCCCACAAAAAGTCCCTCATTCTCTTCTCCAGTTTCTTAGCTTCCCTTGGAGGAATCCTAAACACTGAAAGGAAGTAGGTTGGAAGATTGGCAAGTGTAGCCTTAATTAAAGTCAGCCTACCCCCTATTGAGATGTAATTCTTTTTCCAAGCCGCCAAGTATTTATCAAATTTCTCCACAATAGGGACCCAGAAACTACTTTCTTTAGGGTTAGCTCCTAAGGGTAGCCCTAAGTATGTCAAAGGCCAAGAAGAAATGTTGCAACCTAAGCACTATGCAATGGATTCAATCTCCATATTTACTCCAACCACACAACTTTTATCAAAGTTTACCCTCAAGTTGGAGACACTTTCAAATGTTCTTATTAGATTCTTAAGGTTCTCCACCCTACTTAACTCATTCCCTTCACAGAAAATAACAATATCATCAGCAAACTGAAGGTGAGTTACTGGAATGCCTCTGTTCCCTATTCTCCATCCCTTTATTTGGCCCTCCTCATCTGCTTTGGAGATCATTCTACTGAAGACATCAGCAACAAGAGTAAAGAGGAAAGGAGAAAGTGGATCACCTTGTCTTAAACCTCTATTGGCTGGAAAGAAGTACTTAACAACCCCATTCACCAAAACAGAATAACGGCAAGAATTTAAACATCCTCTTATCCAATTACACCATTTATCCTCAAATCCACGTCTTCTTGACATCTCCAACAGGAAACTCCAATCCACTAAATCATAGGACTTCTCCAAGTCCAGTTTGTAGACAAATCCTTTTCTACCCGATCTCCTCATCTCTTCCACACTCTCATTTGCAATAAGGATCTGATCCGTAATTTGTCTATCCTGTATAAAGGCTCCTTGTGCTTGGCTAATGAGAGAAGGTAGAACTACTTTGATCCTCCTAGAGAGCACTTTTGCCAGAATCTTATAGATACTTGTCACCAGGCTGATTGGTCGAAAATCTTTGGGGTGTTTGGCATCAGTCTTTTTAGGAATTAAGGCTAGAAAGGTGGCATTGATTCCAGGACTCACAACATGTTTGTCCTCAAATTCTCTAAAGGCTCCAATTAAATCTTCTTTTACAATGTCCCAACAATCTTGATAAAAAGCCATTGTAAATCTATCTAGACCCGGTGCCTTAGCCCTATCCATAGAAAAGACAACTAGTTTAATTTCCTCTTCCTCAATCATTCTTTCTAGCCATCCCCTATCTGTTTGGCTCAAAGTTAGCCAATTCTCCACCCCCACTATTAACCGATTCTCTAAAGGTCAATGAAAGATTGATTTGAAATGATCCACAATCCTACTAGCAATCTCCTCTTGAGAGGTTATCTCCACACCATCAATCTCCAGCTTTAGTATCAAATTTTTCCTTCTTCTCCCATTAGCCATAGCATGAAAAAATTTGGTATTCCCATCCCCTTCCTTGATCCACTTATGTCTGGATTTTTGTCTCCATGAAATCTCCTCCCTCAACAAGATCTCCTCTAACTCCTTTTTCAGTTTCCTTCTTATTTCTTTGTCTTGCTCATCCATCATTCCTTAGGATTCTTTTGCATCTAAATCCTCAATCTGAATCAATAATCTAGCTATTACCTCCTCCACTCTTCCAAATTGATCCCTATTCCATTCTTTTATTTTGCCTCTCAACCTTATTAATTTTTTGTGGAATCTAACCCCATTCCATTTCACTTCTCATCTCTTCACTCCACCATTCCTTAACCTTAGGCAAAAAAATCCAGATGTGTTAGCCACATATTCTCAAATCTGAATGGTCTGGGTCCATTACCAAGAGGTTCTTGTCCTACTTCTATAGGGCAATTATCAGAGGTTATCCTAGGTAGGGCCTTAGCCACCAAACCTCTCCAATGGCTCTCCCAAACCCTCGTTAAATAGGAACCTATCAAGCTTCGAGCAGATTGGGTTTTCGTGGAAGTTGGACCAGGTGTAGGTAGCCTGTAGTAAAGGAAGCTCTCATAACTCACAGGAATTAATGAAGTCATTGAACTTCCTCATACTAGTTGTGATGGCCTGTCTAGGATTATTTGACTCAGTTGTGAATCTTAATGCATTAAAGTCACCCCCCAAACACCAAGGGCCTTCCCATAAACCTTGAATTCCATGACGCTCCTCCCATAACTCATTCCTCTCTCTGTGATTATTTAGACCATACACATTTGTTAGTACCCAAATGAAACCATCTTCCACCATCCTGAATTTTAGGGATACAGTGAAGTTCCCTATTAACTCCTCTGCTGGTTCTACGAAGTCCTCCCTCCACAACGTTACTATTCCCCCCGAAGCTCCCCACGATGGAGCTGAGCACCATCTTACCCCTCATATTTTCCAAACCTCTCTAACCCATCTCCTATCCAATTCAGCTAATTTGTCTCTTGCAGCACCACAACATCAGGTATTTCTCTCCTAAGTAACTCCTTAATCGATCTCCTCTTTCTAGCACTGCCCAAACCCCTTACATTCCAACTAATTATCTTCATTTACCTTCAAGAATTTAGCCCTCCAGTATTGTGTTCCTTCATTTAGAACCCTTTTTCCTTTCCCCTCTACCCTATATTTCCTAATTCCTGCCCCAATCCATTGGATCTTGCCTCAAATTCAGGGTTATTTGGAATCACCTCTAGCATTTCCTCCTTCTATTTATATTCCTCCAATAGGACACAAATCTGCTCCCAAATCCATTCTAACTCCTCCTGATTCCTCTCTACCAATCCAACTCCCTTCTCAGTACAGACTCCATCAATATCAATCACCACTCCCCTGCTGCCAATTAGTTGGTTTGGTTGAGATTCCAGGACATCTGTTACAGGCAAAGAACCCATATTAGTACCTAAACCCAAATGGACAGGCTTACCTGAATGTAGCAGAGATGGTAGTATGTGGACCGGATGTTGAGTATCAATTCTTGGAGTCGGGGCTTGGCCCTTCCCCCTTTTCCTGACTCAGCCGTGGAATTGGACTAGGTTCAACCAGTACTTTTTCGCCCTTTACAATCAAAGAAACTTCAGCAATCTTTC